TATAAATTTTAAATCATGAGTCAATTGAAGCTAGACCACCAAGGAAAACATGGAAGCATCGGACTGCCGTTCCGTCGTATTGTGGGACTCTCCAGTAGTGTGCATTAGTTGGTATTTTTACATCCGTCTATATTCTTATATTTAATAGTGAAATTTTTAAAATTTGGCTACATTAAATCATAAGATTTATTACAGTAATTAGGGATTTTTTTACTTTATTACTTATTAAAAATAATAAGTTTAACTAATACTATAAACCATTTTACAAATATCTCTTTAACATATATAGATATTTTAATAGTTCAATTCATGGCTTGATTTATCCTAGACCACCGTGAAAAACCTGGAAGTACTGGACGGTCATTACGTCCTGCTGAAAAGTCCCGTACTAGAAAGAAACGGCCGTCCAGTGCTTCAAGGTCTTCCACGTTGATCCAGAGTAAATCAATTCAGGAATTTAACTTTTTAACTACTAAAGTTTTCGCAAACGTTCATTATGGTAATACACATGTAGATATTTAGATTTTAGTTTCTCAAATTGAATTTCCAAACTTTTTTTAGTAGTTAGTAATTGCCATTCATATTCAGTAATCAAAATTCCCTAACAATTAGGTTGCAATAATTATTCTTTTATTCTTCATATAAATGATACTTCAACTCTTCCATATTTATCTCTCGTTTTATCGAAGGACAGAAAAACAAATTAGGGTAACCCTATCAAAAACTGAGATGTTTCTATTCGAGTTTTCCAGTGTGCAATACCTCAATAATTTTTGATCGTTTAGTAATAATATGGGAATAAACACGTTCAGACTTCATAATTATCTACTTCAAAGAGATCAAAAAACATAAGGCAAATTGCAATATATTCCCACTTGAAAAATATCTGACTCAAAAATTTAAAGAGGTTACCCTTACAGAAATTAATTATCTAATATTCTTACATTACTAAAAATAAGTATTATAATCAGAAAGGTTTTTTGTGGAGATTTGGTATTTGCATGGTTGAAGACCTGAGTCAATCGAAGACCATCAAGGAAAACCTGGAAGCACTGGACGGCCGTTTCTTCCTATTTTGGGGCTCCTCAGCAGTGTGCGCCCATGACCTCGCCTCGCGAGATTCGATTCCAGGACCTACCAGTCTCGCTCCAGAGCACTTAACCGATAGACCGGTAAGCCGGCATCCATTAGTGTTAATGTCTAATTTCAACTAATCCACGAAGTTGAGCAACTGTTCAACTATGCAATTAAGTATTATGTTTATAAGTGTCTATTACATTAAACGTTTAACGATATAGTCAATAGGCATCGTGTACATTACATTTCATTTTAGATTGGCAAAAAGTCAATATAGTAAGGACTGGTATTATGTAAAACAAAATATGTATTGTTAAAATCAAACAAATAACTCACAGTCCAATCAAAAACAGGCATTCATATTATACTCAATTTGTTACACCTTTAGTATCTATAAATAGCTCTTTAGACAAAAAAAACAACCCTTTTACAAACAGTAAATATTTGTTCTATCCAAAATATGGTGTCTTATTTTGTCTGATAACTTGATGAGTTTAACCAAAAAAATACAGAACTTGGTTACATCAAAAGGAAAAAGATGATTATTCCGGTTGTCAACATTACACAAATAAATTTGGACCTACACCTTTAATAATAAGTAAAAGAGATAATTATATTATTTAATTTATTGATCATAAAATATTAATATCTAACCGTTATACCTAAAAATAATATTTTCTAAGCACTGGACAAGATTCAACAGTAACGTTGGTTTTTCTAGAGTTACTTATCGTAAATAGAATAGTTGAATATCTTTCTTCCAAAGAATTAATATAAATGCATTTATTATGTTTTGAGAAGGTTGTTGACGGATATCAAGAAAAAGAAATCGATATCATTAGTTGTATTATACTTGAATGGTTAGAGATTTCAATCAACTTGACCAAAAAAACGGTATTATTGAGTTGAATCAACTGTTTATCTCTGTGTTTTCCGATTGCACAAAGCTGAATATTACTTTGCACTGATGAAAGAACTCTTTTCGCAAATTAGCTATGTTATATGCTATCTAAATCGTGATAATAAGTGTTTCCAAGCGGTCCCCATCAAATAAGACTTTTAAGATTGAATAGAAAGGCGGTATTATATTCTAATGTAGTATAATTTTCTTCCAAACGTACTTCCATAATTGTATAACACTCATTTTACTCATCCATGTAGCATATGATTTTGTAGTAGTGAATGTTAGTACAACCAATATTTCAATGAGTAAGTGTAAGTAAAGTTTCCCATTATGTTTCTATAGAGAGTGAATAAATCATCATCTGAATCCATTTTCGCCATTTTATTTATATTGTACAAATTCCAAGATTTTCCTGTTCTAAGTGTCACCTATTCTCCATACTTACTGTAGACATCTAAAATTTTTATATACTAACCTAACAGTATTGAATTTGCTTATACATTCGAGAGTATAATATTCACTGAAAAAAAATTAAATAAAAACATATACATTTAATTTATTAGCTACATTTGATAAAAAAAATTTTTTAAAAAAATGAAAAGAATGTTTCCATTCCCTCATTTTGCATTCTTCTTTTCTATCATCCAATCTTTATAAAAGCACAGTTTTCTAATAAAAAAAATCCAACATCATTTCTTCAAGTCGAAATGTGTTTCATTTCATTTCCGGAGTTATGCACTTTTAAAAAAAAAATTGACTGCTTTTGAATAAAATTTTATTATTACTTATAATTTATCTGTCCAAATATGAATAGAGACTATAAGAGTGAAGTACAATTTATTATATATAATTAAAATATTTATTATAATTGATATTTGAAATAATGAGTAAATTGAAGCTGGACCACCATGGAAGACCTAGAAGCACTGGATGGCCGTTTCTTCCTATTGTGGGACTCCTCAGTAGTGCGCATACACGATTCCGCACTCACGAGATTCGAACACAGGACATATCAGTTTCGCCCGCAAGCGCTTAACCACTAGACCACTGAGTCGGCCAACATCCAACAGTGTTAATGTTTAACTTCAACCAATCCACGAAGATGAACAACTATTTCACAACAGACCCAGTTGAATTCCGCTAATCATTGCTTCTCACTAGAACTCCAGAAAATATCTCTTGAAGTCAGTCACTAGTGAGCATATCATTATAATCCAAAGGGGCTTTGTGGAGATTTCAGTATTTTCTTAGTTGAAATCATGAGTCAATTGAAGCTTATTGAATAATTTACCCTTTACCATCTTAAGAATAATCTGTGTAACAAAATTTGTAACAAAATTGAGCTTATTAAAACATATGAGAAGAAATAATATAAATCAAATTAGTTTAAAGAATGAACAGAAGAAGATAAATATCCCACTTTTACAGATATACGTACTGACAATTATTTAGGAATGTTTACATTGACTGAATTTTTTTTAATCATCTGGTGACTATAATGAATTAGTTAGGGAATAGTAAAGTATGCAGACTTTTATATTATTGAATGTAAAAATATTCATAACAAGTATATATAATCTTTATATTTACGGTGTAATATATTATAATCAGCAATATATTATTTAAGAGTGATCAAATCTCAAAATAAACATAATAATAATTCATATTGTGGTGTGGTCTACTTATATCCACATAAGTAATATATAGTGATGGGCAAGTATAGAATGTATTTTGGCAGAAGACCGATAAGGAAAGAACAGGAACGAAGCGCAATTGGCATGAAAATGCGTACACAATGAACTTTAATTAATGAAATTAACATAAAAATACGTATTATCAATATTTCATTTTATTGCATGTTAGTGTACTTTTCATTTATTATGTAACCTTGACGAATAAACATGTACTTTTAAAAATCCCACTATTGATATCCATAACTAGATAAGCTTTAAGGTTTGGAATAATTGATGAGATTAGTTTTCAAGTGTTTGTGTGTGTGTGTGTGAGTGCAAATGAACATTATGGATAGGACTAAAATATACTTTAAATTATTAATTAATAATTAATATCTATCACTTTGGTTACAAATAAATTATCAGTCTAGGGATTTATGGAGATGGTATTATTTCCAAAGTTGAATTCACGAGTCGATTTAAACTATCTAGTACTTCCATGTTTTCAATGGTGGTCTAGCTTAGATGGACTCGTGAATTCAACTGTGAAAATAACATATTATCTGAGTTGTTGCACAAACCAAAATTAAAATTGAGCATTTAGGCTCAGAATAACCAACTAATGTTTATATTAAGTGAAGAAATAAAGTTCGAACTTAAAGTGATACATTTACTTTCTTAACTATAATTGAACCATTTCGTCTATGAGGTAGTTATGCACCGCAGACTATAGATGCCGCGAATTGATTGAAGTTAGACTTGGTGCAACCTCAGTAGTATTCGGAATTTACCATTATTGCACGTCAGCTACACTACAAAGGATTGAATCGAGAACCTTACTCCTTGTATGCTCACTGGTGACTGAAATCTAGAGGTTCTTTTAGGAGTTCTTGTGGAAAACCATCAACAATGCGGTACAGCAATGTTAAGTGTGAGACAGTTAAATACATCATCCAATATAGGATGGCTGCCCAGTATCGTAAACTGATTGAAGTTAGAAATGTATACAACTGGGTTTTGGGTCAGTGTTTTATATGTTAAGCTCTCGACACGAGATCGAAGTTTCTTGGTCTGATCCTCAGTTGGGTCGTTCATTTACATTACCGAGGTGTCGTATACTAAGATGAGGCAGTTCGAGAGTGCTTCCTGGTTTCAAGTGATAAAATGATGTCAGTTCGTGATGAAAACTCTTCACTCTTCAAAAACTTCCTACGCTAAAAATAAATTTATTCACGCATAAAGCAATACCTGTTTTTTTCTGTATGTATATGTGGAAACTGTCTGATTTCCACGTACTTATTAAATTGTTGATTGTTTTCAATCTAATATGTGTTTCTCTATTTTAGATATACTGCAATCATGTTTCCTCTTCGTCCACGTTCGAAACTAAAAACGGTTATTTGTGCAATTGCAGCTATTTGGTTAATTTCGTTTGCAATCGGATTGCCTGGTTTAATTGTAGCTACAGTTTTTCCAAAAAACTCATCAAACTTACAAAATGTAGTTAATACCACAGATTTGCTTGTTGTGGTGAATCAGATCACGGTTGACTCACCTGATCAATATGTTTCAAATGATTGTATTCTTAACTGGTCATCAGAATGGTCTGAAGCGTAAGTTATTGTTTATTATAGAAAACAAATTGGTTATCTGGTATTAATTTCAATTATTCTGGCCGTCATACACATTAGTAAACATCTGTTATTTACCTGAAAACTTGTTTTGAACAGAACATATGGCTGTCAAACTTAAAATGGTGTTTTCATGTTTATTCAAAATTGTACAGCAGATGATGAAATGAGTAAGAGTAGTAATAGCTATTTTCTACATCCTGTTTCTATTTTCTGTTCCATTAATTACAATTTAACAAAAGTATAAAATCATATTGTGTAATGTCTTAAAGTGTACCAGCTTTTATGTACGGTACACAGCTATGACACATATTCACTTAGTGACAAAATTTAACGAGCACTTCCAAATCCAGAATGACATCATGACCTACGTATAAGAGATCACTGTCCTTCAATATATGAAAGATGGTGACTTGCACTGGTTGTCTTCAATCTTTTATTTATGTCGGTTATGTCTTAATTACTTTCTTTGCTGTTCATTTACTTTGTTTAGGCATTCTGCGTTTATTGCCTTGATATTGCCATAAGTTACAAGCATTATAAGCAAGGATATATAGTGACTAACAATGGAATTGAGGACACGCGCTTCGTCTCATTCGAGACTCGTGAGCAGTATGCACCTGCATACCACAGTTGACATTCTCTTCGGGTTACGAACGAAGAACAGTTCGATTCGAACGTCATCGTGTTATCCACTTAGCTACTGAGTCCTGATAGCCACTGGATTGTGCATACATGTCGATGAGAGACTGATCAATTACGATCCTAAACATCAATGGATAGTTTCAAACAAACAATGGAAAAAATTAATGTAACTTCACCCTGTTGCACAAGCTAATTTCTATCACGACTCAGTAGCTATGGGGGTAACGTGGTGGCGTTTGAAGCAAACAGTACTGAGTTCGAGTCCCAGAACAAACGTTAACTTTGGGACACATGTACGTCCAGCCGACGAGTCCTGAATAAGATGAAACTTGCGCCTTAGATTTTACTACTACCTACCATCCATCTCTGCTTACCATGCAAAGACTGTACTAATCATCCTAAGATAATCTATAAGAATTAAGAAAGGTGAATACTAATTTTTTTATTTACACAACCTAAACTAACTTTGGTTCTGGAATTAAATTTATGCCAGGACACCAAGTTACATCAAAGATTTTCAGCTTAATTACAAAAAGAAAATTCAGTTTACCATAGTTGGCGTATACATATACGTATATAGTAAACAGTGACATTTATCAGGATATGACCCAGAAAGATAATTATATTGATACAAGAATTCAAAAAAATGAAACACTTTTTGAAGCTTATATTTATGCAAATCAATGGAAAGCTAAATGATCCTATTATATTTAACGTTTAGACCAATGATAAAGTTTTTAATAGTTTATATGATATTAGTTTTTACATTACGCTGTATTTAAATCAACCAGTTTCAATGACAAGGTTTGAAAATGTTAATAACTTGCATTGAAATATTTCTAAAATACATATGTAGCTAAATATATAATCATTCCCTGTAGAGTTTGTAGTGTCGTGCTTCGTTAATCATTCACCTTGATAACCGTTATAATTTCAATCTTAACGGTGCATAAAATCAAAAGGCAAAGAGAAGCGGCAGCTATAGTTGACTGTCAAATAACGCAGGCCAGGAAGCTATAAGCACATGAGCAAATATGAGTGAGCGGGCGAAAATAACGCACATTGGAGATGGCGGGTAAGCCAAATTACTTTAATCAAGCGGTAATCAATATTTATAGTCAGACAAGAATAAGTTACAGACATGTGATGAATAAGATAAAAAGTGTACACAAAAATACGCTCATATAAAAAATAATCGCGGTTAATAAGTTAATAATTAACAAGGTGAAAAAGTGACTCAAGATGGATAGGTAGATTGGCTTGTCCAGAAGCTAGAATTAGGTTTTTTGGACTTAACATATCAACCGACACTATAAGTTATTAACATTGTGTTTTATGTAATTAAAATAACAACCATTATCCAGTAGAATTAAAACAGTAAATAGTAGTAATTCTATAACATTTTGTAAAGAGTTTATGTACTAGTTTACTGTTATTTTCATCTTAAGGTTATAACTCAAATATCTTGTTTCGTAAAACACGTGGCACTGAAAATTCCATTAGGCAATATCAGATGTAACTCGAATGATGAACATATAATTCATAATAATATGAAACAAAGTTTTGTAATGAATAGACTGGTTAAAAATCATTTAGATTAATCGTAGGAAGTTCTAAGTAGTTCGATACTGTTTTGATGAATTGTTATCTACGAATAAAAATCTTCGTTATGTACACTAGTAAAACGTTTCTGTAAGGATGGCTCGTTGGCAAACTCAAGGAAGCCTCAAGAATCCCAGAAAGAGCTGAAGACATTCCATCCAATCAGCACTGGAGGATTATTCTAGAATGTCGACGTGTAGCTATTCCTCTCTATTGGATGAATAAGAAGGACCCCCTATGTGCCTATTGGCTATCCGAAATGATGATTTACTTTCAGCCAGAAAACTATAAATACATGAAATTTTTGTACTGTATTTGACACTGTTTGGGGAAATAAAACTTCTACATACTGGTCTTCCGTCTTCTCTTTTGCGATGTTGCGGGTTTGATCGTTCAAGTAGTCTAGTAGTACGAGGCATAACAAGAATCAAAGCTCTAGATATAGCAGTTTCTAACACAAATTATTCAGTGCTACAACCATTCGCCATTGCTAATATAGGTACATGTATAATTAAAAGAAAAATATATTCTTCAACAGTCAGTATATGTCATCCATTATCAGTTACAAACTTTTATTTTACTTTTTTGATTGTTAAAAATTGTTTATGTTCATCAAATATCAGATTTATTGATTTTAATCTATTTGCGTTTTATTTCTCCATAGAAGAAATAGGAAAGAAATATATGCTGATATCGTGCTTTCATTTGAGTTTCCTAGAGTTTAACATAGGGATATTGTAAGGTTTTTATTAGGACGTAGGAATGTAAGGATTTAGGATTCAAAGTTATCTCATTAAAACAAATCTAAAACAGTTGAGAAGTTAGTGACCCAAATGTTTGTTTATGCTAATAATATCAGGAATGTATGGTGATAAAATTTAATGAACTAAATACTTATCGAATTTTCAAATCTACAAAATACCAGAAAACTGACTATATTTTGTACAGTGAATGAGGAACAGAATCACGTAATGTCAAATATTACTATCTTCAGTTTTATATGGAAAACTGTCTTCTCAAAGTAATTCAGTGTATGGGTGAGAAAGATGTTATGAAACACTTCGTTTAGTCTGACAGTCATATAAATACTCAAGTAAACTTATTGCCTATCGCTCATCAGTGACCGACTCTTCAGTCGAAATGTTTGCTATCATTGTCAAATTACATATTAAACAAATATTAGTCATTATTTGACTAATTGGGATTTATTTTCACTGTGATTTAACAAGTGTTAGCACATTTATTACAGTTAAGACCTCACACTAAATGTGGTACGTTAATGTTTTTGTTAGGACACTTGACATAGTATGCCGATGCAAATAGTGTCCACAATATTAATGAAATATCGAACATTAATACATCAGTATATCAATCGTTTTGGACGATGTCTTTGATTTACTAACAACTAAAACTATTGCAAGTGTAACAATTTTCTCATAGAAACGATAATTATTACGGAAACTTCATTTCAACTCAATAAAACATCTACGATGTATGGCATTATTCAATGTATTATAAAGAGTTACTAAGATAACAACTTAAGAAGAGTGATTATAGTAATATAATCGGAGAAGCAATATCTCTACATAATGTAAAAATGATGAGACTATAATTTGTGGATGACCTTTGGGTGGCGCTGAATTGACCTTGAAAATGTCCATCTACTTAGTAGAACTAACCGAAGATAATGAAACAGTTTGAGGAATAAGGATTATGATTTACAATTGGTGGTTAGGATTAATAATTAGATTTATAGGTTTCATCATGCACTGATATCAGCTAAAATGTCAAACGGATGAATGGAGTTCACGCCAAAATCTAAGACGTGTTATCTTATTTCTGATTTGTTCGTCCATAAATTTGTAATCTTTTTGTAGAATTTCTTCTAAAAAACATCGACACTAAATATTTACAAAAGATACCTACTTTAAGCATTGAACTATAAGTTCTAAATATTTATCTATAATATGAATAAGCTATTTCAAGTTCACTGTAAATAAAGTATCACCAAAATGACGAAATAAGAATTCAATGTTGCTGTTTTTTTCAAGAGTTTTATTTGTCTACATTGATATAAATAAATGTATATCTATGAAAGTAGTTTTTCAACATTAATTACTTTTTACATATGATCCAAGACACTTTGGTGTATGCTACCAATGACGACAGAAATAAGTAGTATGTAACACCAAATGGAAGTGAAAAACCTGAAAGCAGAAAACTAAGAAGATCAAGTTGAAGAGAATACAAAGGAATTGTGAACTTGAGGTATCATACAGAACGTGAAGGACTAATGATGAATGTGAGATACAACCAAAACAAAGAAATATACAATGACAAATTTAAGGTCAACAAGAATCAATCAACATCGAGGTGCACAGGACAAGTTGTGAATCACATGTGGAGAAATTCAAACACTTCACTTCTATCCGAAGTTTGTGCTGATGATGTCGTTCAGAAGGACGATGACGGCTCCACGACCAAACCATCCAGTTCAGAAAACAAAACCCCATCAAAACCACTCACCTGAGCTACAAATCTTCTCCACCACTAATGATGAAAATAAACAAATGAAGTATTCAGTGTATAAGTTGTTATATTTGATCAAGATACTATGTAATTTTGCATTAGAATACATCCGTTGTCCCCACCTATGTTTTTGTTCATTACAGTACGACGTTTCAATTTCTAATGAAATGATTTTTTTTCATTAGTTTTATAGCAGATTGAGTTTAGAATATTTCAAGATTTGTTTTATAATTTAATTTATAAACATCTATTTCTCAGAAGGCTGGAAAATAATGCTCTGTTTATCTTACAGGTATGATTATACACTTTTTGTGTTAATGTATGTTCTTCCTCTTATCATACTTGCTGCAACTTATATTCCAATATCAATTCATTTATGGTTTCATAGAGGACTTGGTGAAGTTACTAGGGCACAAGCACAAAATGTTCAGTCAAAAAGACGAGTAAGTAATTCAATATTATTTAATTATTCCTTTTAATATTGCCTTAAGTAATATTGTGTCTTAAGCATTCAGTAGGAACTTGGATAGGATAAGACATATTTAAGAATTCTGATAGGATTCATGCTAAGTACAGCACACGTTTTTATTAATATCAAAATAAGTTAGATTTTGGTCATTTAGAAAACAGTATACATCATTTTATCTGTGGTGTGGTCTACTTATATCCACATAAGTAGTATATGGTGATGGTCAGACATAGAATGTATTTTGACAGATGATCGATAATAAAAGAACAGGAACGAAGCACAATCGGTACGAAAATGCATGAACAATGAAATCAGAGAAGACGGACTGGTATTTGCTTAAGGAACAGTTAAGATTGAGATAATTTTTTATTTTGTAAATTAACTTTTTACTGTATGATTATCAGAATTTAGTGAGATAGTTTGTAATTTGTGCTTAAATACATTCAAGTGCCCCCGAATAGTGTTCTTGTTCACTACAATCTAATAGCACATTGAAACTTTATGATCAGTTAATGATATTGTTAGCTGAGTCGTAAACATTGGATCATATTTTTTTTGTTGATACCAACATATTATACAGTGAAGTACTGAGCATAAACAATTCCGAAAAAGTTTGCTTTGTATATAGGAAATTTTAAAATCAGACTATTAGTGTTGATGTGACTAAATCATAAAAGTATAGATGAAACAATTGAAGACACATTGTTGACTTGTACTCCAATAAAATGACGTAAAATCTCTATGTATTTAAGAAATGCAAATAATAAGTTTATGAACTTTTTCTCACTTCCAAATTTCAAGTTGGCACTTGCCGCGTGATGAAGTTTAGTGACTACCGTAACGTATGTCCTATCCACTTTCAACACGTTTTCCTAGTTTCCTCCTCAGCTGGGAGTTGGTTTGTACTCTTTCACAGAAGGTTGTTGCTGATTGTATCTGGTTTTCGGCTATTGACTATCTCGATTAAACAATTGTTTATAAACACTTGTACATTTTGATAGAAGTTATGGTAAATCTTTAAGTTTCGGCCCTATGAAACAGAACTGTCTCAACATTCGTATTGAATATTTGATTTTGATATTAGTTGATAGTTGTTTTGAGTTCTACATGTACTTCAACTGTAGGAATGTTATCCTTATTTTCCTAATCCTTACCTTTACATCTGCATCAGAACCTCCTTGTTCATTGATGATGCTGTCCACGTACTTTTTATATGTATATATGTATACATCCTTAAAATCTTTAATTTAAGAAGTCACAGAACAACACAACTTTTAGCTCAATATGTGTTTTTTAACTTACTAATGATAAACAATAACAAGGCATACATATATTATTGTACTACTACCGTTAAGAACCCATGAAGTTTATTACAGAAAAATAAACTCAATTTATTTGTTAATTTGTCTATCAGAAGCATCTTTTCTTAAAACATCTTTTTTTTTCTTAAAGGCAGTGAAAATGTTATGTGCAGTTATGCTGATATTTGCAATTTGTTGGCTTCCATATCAATTATTTTTTATTCTGTTACAATTAAGTCCAACAATTAAAAGTAGTCATAGTTTACCGATTGTATTTATATGTTGTTATTGGTTAGCAATGAGTAATTCAATGTATAATCCAATTATATATATTCTAATGAATAAAAAGTAAGCCAATGTTTAAATGTACATAATAAATGTAATATATATATTTTTCTTATTGTTTTCGAGAAAATAATTCGGGTTTTTACTACAAATCATCAGAGGAACCAATTAAATGTGTTACAATGAAATATCACTTGTTACTACCTTTATTCATGTTATCTGATGTTTGATGCTAATCGAATAATGTCTATCAGGTTGCAATCAGAATATTAGTATATCTGACGTGATATCGTATTTTCAGAAGGCGTTTTGTGAGGTATCAACTAACTGAAGACAATTGGTGAAATGGTTACTCAAACTTCGTGGATTGGTTGAAGTTAGACATTAACACCATCGGATACCGGCTAAGTGGTCTATGGGTTAAGTGCTGTAACGTGAGACTGGTAGGTCCTAGGTTTAAAATCTTGTGAGGCAGGATTATGGATGAGTACTGCCGAGGAGTCCCATAATAGGACGATTTGGAAGTCCAGTGCTTCCAGGTTTCTCGTGGTGGTCTTTCTTCAATTGTCTCATGATTTCAACTATGAAAATGTCGTATTTTCTCAAGGTCAATTAAGAATCGCTAAAATGTCGTACAAAAATTATAGTCTCATCGGACTTTCACAATCAGTACCTGAAATATCCACATAGCTAGTGAAGAATATACTTAGCTTACTTCTGTGTAAACATAAGGCTTTTCAAAGGAATGCTCCAATATAATGATTATTATGATTTTTCTAACAATGGTGATTTTTCAACATTACAAGGGTATATGATTAATCTGATAGACACCTAGAAATTCTTCGTTCCTCAACTTTAAATCAGAAGAAGCAGTCAGCCGATGTCAATTGTATGTTCAGTTTTTAAAACTCACAGTATCATTTACATTAGGTGCAAGAACACAATTCACCATAAAAAAATCAAATTGTACAAAACCAGGTTATTCGTAGTATAGTACTGAGTATTAGAGATATATGTCATTATTCATAATTAATGAACACTACAAGGTATAACAATAATGAAGGTGTCGAATATGTTATATCCCGAAGCGATTTATGAATGGTAACTTCTGAGAACTATTTGTGGACCACTATGATACGTATATTTCCTATTGTATAATTGTTAAGTAACTAAACTGTTCATATTCGTGTTCCTCTTATTATAAGCTTTATTTTGACCTATAGACTATTATTATACGATTTACTATTTTTGAGTTATGCACTGTCTATCAATTACCATCGCCTTTATTCACAGCCACATTTGGCTAAATCTTGTGCAAATGTTATTTTCTATTTTATGGTATGATGTGGTAAGTTTGTTTGATATATAAACCCAGTATGTTTGAAAGTAATGACTCATATTGTAGAGGCTGTTATTGGTGTTCTGGACTTAACTGGCTGGTCTAGGCAGGAAGCAGGACTAATAATTACTCATGACTGCTCATAAGGCAATTGTGTATCATAGCTCTGATCGACAATTCACTGCTCTCTGATAGGCGGTCATATCACTCATATATATTAACATGGCACTCAAACAATCGATATAACAAAATGAAAGCTTACAGTTAAGGCAATACATTCACTTTATATAATGGTTTTCAAAGATTCATATTTCTTTCATTCATTTGGCTATTTCAATTGTGTATCCCTGTAAAATATCACAAGGTATTAGGTAAAAATGACACATTTTCATTATCATGATCTAGATCTTTAGCTTTAATAGTATCTAATCCAATTTTTATTTTATTAATTCATCACTTTTTATAGCCTTACCTTTTTTTAATTCAGTCTCATCTTACAATCAGTGTTTGGAATATATCGATCCCTCTACCATTCATCTTTTTATCTTTTTATCCCAACATAACTCTTTGAATATTTGTGAATGATCAACAAATTAATTACAACTGACAGACTATGAAATGTTTTCGTTCGCCATTTTGTAAGCTTAGTTTGTAGAATAAAAAAGAAAGTACATTTATATCTTCACTAATAAGTAAATGCTGTCATTAAATATTTCAAAATGTTTGCTCATCTGAATATCCCCCAGTTTTCCTGAAATTGATTTATGCATAACATTTCTACAATTCATTGATCATTGGGTGGTGATCAATGTCATATATGTCTAGACCTTCTTAACACAAATCAAATTCTATCGACCAAGTTACAATATAACCACTAGTCTATGGGACTAGACATTATGTATACTATGTTGAGATAAGATGGCGGGTTTCCTGTTGACTACCTCTAACCACTATCTTAGCATAACTTTTTGAATATTTTCATGTTAACCAAATTTTGTCTTTGTTTTCTTTTTCTGTAACAAAACAACAAAATTACTAGTTGTTTTAAACTATAATTTAAAAAAAAGAATCAAATTTGACAATGTCATTGTTATTTTTTACATCATAATATGACATTTAATTTGTAAAAACGTACACGGGAAAAACATGTGGTAGAACTAAGGTAAAACATATGTTAGTCTATTGATGTATAATTATTGCCAATAAAAAACCTTGATTATTCATCGGATTTTTGATACATAGTTTAAATCACGAGTCATTTGAAGCTAGACCACCATAGAAAACCTGGAAGCACTGGACAGCCATTTCGTCATATCGTCGGACTCCTCAGCGGTGTTTATGTCTAACTCCAACCAATCCACGAAGTTTGAGCAACCGTCCACCAATTATCTTCAGTGAGTTGATATCTCCCAACAGACATGGTTGAACTCCACTGGTTACTGGTTATCACTAGAACGTCAGGAAATACCTCACTGAGCCAGTCACTAGTGAGCACCTTTACAAACAACCCCTAATCATAGGATTATCCGTGAGAATAATAATCCAATTATCAGTTATAAAAATTTTATGAAAACAACCATCATTTATTTGAATTTTCCAAAAATTTTTGTTTAATTATCAAACTTAATTGATATATAATTCATTGAAATGTTATTCATCATTGAACAATTCAAGGTATTTACGGTACTGTATTAACTTCTAACTTACTTACGTCTTTTACTCCCAATGGAGCATAGGCCGCCGACCAGTATTCTCCAACCCACTCTGTCCTGTGCCTTCCGCTCTAGTTCTATACAGTTCTTGTTCATTCTTCTCATGTCTGTCTCTATTTCTCTGCGTAATGTGTTCTTTGGTCTTCCTCTTCTCCTTTGACCTTCAGGATTCCATGTGAGGGCTTGTCTTGAGACGCAATCGGGTGATTTCTTCAAAGTGTGCCCTATCCACTTCCAGCGCTTCCTCCTGATTTCTTCCTCCGCTGGAATCTGATTTGTTGTCTCCCACAGTAACTTGTTGCTGATAGTGTCTGGTCAATGGATCTGACGTATCTTGCGTAGAAAACTGTCAATGAACACTTGTATCTTCTGGATGATGGCTTTCATAGTTCTCCAAGTTTCCGTCTCACACATCAGAACTATCTTGACATTTGTATTGAAAATTCCGATTTTGGTGGTGGTTGACAATAGTTTTTTTTCTGATTAAGGTTTTTTAGCGAGTTGGTTTTCTACGGGGTGGGGTCGCTAAACCCATGCTAAGCCCTCCTCGTTTATATGGCCTTGGGACTGGCAGTAGCCTCCGGAGGAGCTACAGGCGGAGTTTATTAACTTCTAAGCTTATCATATATTTTTGACTGAAAATAACATTAGACAATATAAAATTTAGTTGACACCAATAAAGAGTTACACAACATGATATCTATATAGTAGATCGATTACATGTATCAGTGTATAACATTAAACTTACAACCTTCTTTATTGTAAATACCAATTAAATAATCTCATTTAACATATTTTCACCTCTATTGTTTATCAACAACAACAATGATAATTAAACGTAGCAAGAGTATTCCCATTTGCTCAGGGTTTTTTTCTAAGTTTCATCATAAATACGTTTTTCCTAGAGTTTTGTTGAATAAAATCACAAACTAGATTTATTTATAGATTGTTAATTAACAATTGGTTTCCATTATACATAATTATCTCATTTACAAATATCAAACAAAAGCATAAAACTTGTTTTTATTATGAATTGTTAGTTTGTGACGTCATTAAAGGTTTATTTAAAGGAATATGTCAAACAAACAAAAAATGTGACATTGAACTGATTGTACTATCGGTTGCTATGTCGGTCCCTCATAGTTTATCTTAGCTTTCAGAAAGAATAATTTATTCATTCTTCTTGAATCATATTTTTGACTTTGTTAATTGTCGGCTTATCAACCTTGACTGTTTTTATGTAAGAGTATGTGTGTGCGTTTATTACCTTGTTTACCACATACCTGTAACTTATTTTTGTCTGACTATAAATATCGATTCATGCTTGGTTAAATTGAGTTAGCTCAAATGTTTTCTCCATCGCGAATTATTTCCCTTCGCATTCTTCGCTTCATTTCTCCGATCGACTGTCTGTTCAGATCAATGATTGTTTGAAATATACTCATTCAAACTTCATTCTGCTATCTGATTTATTTAATTCCGTTATTCACGAACGCGATTTAAGTTGATGATTATAAATAACCGGCCCATGCATATTTAATTTTATAAAGTTTCTAAATACTTACAGATATGAAATAAATACAGAAGATTTATAATTAGATAAAGCAATTTTATTTCTATTTTAATAGTCGGGATCATTAGTCATTTGAAGCTAGACCACCATAGAAAACCTGGAAGCACTGGATGGCCTTTTCGTCATATTGTCGGACTCCTCAGCAATGCGCATCCACGATCCAGTCTCGCGAGATTTGAACTCAGGACATATCAGTCTCATGCACAAGCGCTTAACCGATAGACCACTGAGCCGGCATCTAACGGTGTTAATGTCTAACTCCAACCAATCCACGAAGTTTGAGCAACCGTTCACCAATTATCTTCAGTGAGTTGATATCTCCCAACAGACGTGGTTCAACTCCACTGGTCACGGATTCTCACTAGAACTCCAGGAAATACCTCACTGAGCCAGTTACTAGTGAGCATATGTTGGTTAATATCAGAAGAGGGTTTTGTGGATATTATAGTTATTTTAATAATTGAGATCATGAGTCAACTGTAGATAGACAACCATGAAAATCCTGGAAGCACTGGATGGCCGTTTCGTCTTATTGTGAGATTCCTCAGCATTGCGTATCCACGATCCCACCTCGCGGGATTCCAGGTTTTCGATAGTGGTCTAGCTTTAATGGACTCATGATCTCAACTATTAAAATTACTATAACATATACACAAACCCGTTCTGGTATTAATTTTATTTTAATTGTAAATGGTTTTTATCATAACAAATCATTGTTATGACTTATATTTTTATGCTCCATTGATGTTTATTTTAAAAAATTAATTTACTAACCCTAAAATACGTTTTTACAATTTTATTTCTAGTCGTCTATACGGTGTGAAATTTTTAGACTAAAGAATCATTTGTCAGCATATCATGAATATTTTCTAACCATGTTCGATTGTGGAATTAGCAATTGTAGCGATGTAATAAAACATTTTAAGGGTTAACTTATCCAGTTCAGTACAATTTTTTTTGAAATAATAAAAATGCATGACAACTGTTTTTAATCAGGTTTATTAATAACTATGAATTTATCAGACATAATTATAAAACTTTCGAAAATTTGTAATTTAGTCTTGTTAGTCTGAGATCATGAATCGATCACTTTTGGAGTTGCATTCATAAACTGAAAGAACTGGATGACCATTTCTTTCTAGTATGGGACTTCTTGGCAATGCCTATCCACGACCCTGAATGTTGAACTCGAATCTAGGACGTTCGGTTCCGAAGGCAAACGCTTAATCGCTAGATCACTGAACCAGCGTCCAAAGGTGTTATTGTCTTGCTTCAACCAATCCATGAAATTGCTCGACTATCTTTCATTGTCTCTGAGGGATAACTGCTTCACACCCGATGCAGATTGGTTACACTGGTCACATCTGTTCACTAGAACTCCGAGAATTCTCTCTCGAAGCTAGTCACTAGTGTGTACATGCTAGTTATCAGTATGATGTTGTGAAAATTATTGAGTTTTTAATTGAGATCATGAATCCAATAGCTTTTGACCACCATTGAAAACCTGGGAGAACTAGATGACCGTTTGGTCCTAGCATCGGACTCCTCATCAGCAAACCTATACCGATAATTATTTTTATGTTCAAGAAAAGTGGAATTGTATACTTCTCAATAGAAATAAGTTGTTTATCGTCATTTTTGATGTAAAAACAAAGTCAAAAACAGTATAACTTGTAACCAACATATTTTTATGATATTCAATTAATCCTAAAATCTCATTATTTTAATCTTCTGATCTAAAGCTTGAATGAAATTTATAATCGTTTCTTTATCTATGAAATAAGAAAGATTAGTTCATTGGAGAGTTGTCTTTTCAATGAATTTATTTTCAAAGTTGTACAAGGAGTATATAGTTCATTTATCTTTATTAAGTCATCAAAACACAATAGATTAATGTCAATTAATCTCTTTTACTTATGTTAACGTTTATGGCGTACAACCATTTTTGACTTGTAACAATATAATTGACAGAATATAAATATATAGCTCACTTGTAGAATAATAAACATTGAATCAATCATCATTAGTGTGTCACAATTTACAAATACTACATTTTTACATCGGACATAAAGAGAATGTCACTAATTACGATTCCATAAATATAATTATACTCCCGTAATTAGTCTGAATTATGATGGTATCAATTTGAAACAATGTAACAATGTAACAATTGTAACCAAAGATATAAGTGGTTAATGTCAGAATGGGTTTTGTAGATATTATAGTAATTTCAATAGTTGAGATCATGAGTTAATTGAAGCTGGACCACCATGGATGTGTCGCTCAGTTTCATAGATTGGTTGAAGTTAGAAATTAACATCATCGGATGCCGGCTCAGTGGTCTAGAGGTTAAGAGCTCACGCGTGAGACTGATATGTCCTGGTTTCGAATCTCGCGAGACGGGATCGTGGATGTGCACTGCTGAGGAGTCCCATAATATGACGAAACGGCCATCCAGTGCTTCTAGGTTTTCCATGGTGGTCTAGTTTCAATTAACTCATGATTTCAACTATTGATTTAAGTGGTTATTTTATGAGAAACTTATGAATTGTGTAATTAGAGAAATTCGTTTTTACATACGAATATGGATTATTTATGCATATTCTGACCCATAAAGGAAATATTTGGACGGCATTAATAACAATTTATAGTTCTTGAATTTTGTTTGCATTTTCCTCCATTCAAACACAAGTAGATTCATATTACTTACTTACAAAAGCTGATGTTCCTTAGTTTTGAAATGATTCTTTCATTTAGATAATAAAGTGTATTTAAAAGATATTTTAATACTTGGAAATAGCCTTTTTCAACAAAGGTATATTCATTTATTTGTGTTAACTGACTGATAAATGAAAACTTTATCCATACTTTAAAAATTGATAATATAGTCATCTACTTTGTTGTATATATTCATTATACTTCCCACATAGTTTCAAAGGACTTTTCCATACGTGAGAAATTTCGAAACAAAATAGGTTTAAACTACAATAAATGAAAATAATCATCTTTAAACTGTTTTATAAATTAAAAATAAGAATTCACTTTGATATATACAAAATAGATATCCAGGGATTAAGTTTAACTATTTGTTATATCCCGTGGAGAATTATGAATGGTAACTTTGAGAACTATTTATGGACCAATGTGTTATGTATATTCCCTATTGTATAATTGTAAAGTAATTAAACTTTTCAGATTCGTATCCCTCTTATCATAAGCTTTATTTTGACCTATAGGCTATTAGTGTACGATTTACCATTCTTGTCTATTGATTACTGTACCCCCTATTCACAGCCACATTTGGCCAAATCTTGTACAAATATTATTTTGTATTTTATGGTACGATGTGGTCTGTTTGTTTGATATATAAACCCAGTATGTTTGAGAATAATGAATCATATTACAGAGGCTGTTATTGGTGTTCTGGACTTAACTGGCTGCGCTGATAAGTGCTCAAGACTGCTCATACGGTTTTCGTGTATCATTGCTCCGGATCGATAAAATAGTTGCTTTCTAATTGACGGTCTTACAGCTTCATATATATATAATAACAAGGCGCGCACTCACTCGATAAAACATTACCAAACTTACAAAAATTTACAGTAGTTTGATGAATAAACTCCTTCAACATAAAAAGTTACTCAAAGAATAGATTCTGAAATAAATGTAAAACTAGAAACGTCCTACATAATTAACGAACCTAATACATATATTATCACGATAATTTATAATTAAAAATGAAAATAGAATGAAAACAATATAATATCTTCACTTATTTGAGAATATTTTGTTTTGTAGAGCTTTATATCTTATCGTTATTGGTGATAAATCTAATGTCTAATCGTCACTTTTTTCGACATATTTTTGCTCTGGGTGAATTGATTATATTGTAATACTAAGTCGCAAGCCCGTTTACACAAAGTTTTCATGGTATCCAGTGATGAGTCTCATATCATTTGGGAGTTTTAAGTGAGATATACATACACTGTAGGACTCGAACTCATTATCTCTCACTTCTAATATCTATTACATTATTCACTCAACCCTTATAGCCTTAATTGTTTATAGTTATATTCATTCCCCTAATGTTGTGATTTGTTTAAAAACTGTTTCTTTCTAATAATATGGCTATGTTTTTTTTTCAATTTTTCATTATAAAACTGACAAATATCAACTGTTCAAAATCGAATCTCAACTATATTCTACCATGATACCAATAAACTAAAACAAATAAAACAGGTTTCGTAAAGGATTTTACACAGCATTCTCATGTTTTCCATATTGTCGTGAATACATTAAAAAAGACAAGAAGATTAAAACAAATGCAACATCAGTTCATACATTACAAGTTTGAATGTGAAATATCCTTGTTGGTTATTCAGTTGAGTATTCCATCTTATCATAATTACATATCATGATGATGTAATAATCGACCAAACTGGATTATGCTTTGAATATTTCAATACATGTTATGTTATGGTGAGATAAAATAATGGATGTCTGATTTCTGTTGAGAATTATGAGAAGTAATGAAGAAAGACAAGTTCATTTTCAATTATGCATAAACTAAGACAAATTGAAGTATATTGCACAGTTAAACCAATTATTTAAAATGTGCTTTTACGCGTCTATTTCTCTCTGTTATTATATATACATATTTGACTTTAAAAAAGTCTTTTATCAAATTTAATATTAAATTGAACTTGGAGATTACTAACAATATTTTAAGTAGGAATGAAACATTCCAACATAAATAGATCATGTCATGAGTGTCAAGTCCGTCTTAGTGCTGATCGAAAGCCATCGATCAAGTTGCAATGTGGCTACTAGTCTAGGTGGCTAGACATTGCGTGCACTATCTTGAGATAAGATGGTGGTTGGAGGTGGTCAACAGAAAACCCTGGACACGGGTTTCGTGCCACTTGGCACTCGTCAGCAAGGTGTACCTGTAATCTTGAGGGAACTGGTGCTCCCTGACGGATTCGATCCCATGTCACTCAGCTTCACAGTCAGAGACGTCTCAGTCCTGCAGGAGGTCGGTGACGGCCCGAATAGCTCAGTAGTAACGTGAACAATTAAATCAGAGGTGATGAACTGATAATTGCAGAAGGAACAGTCAAGATTGAGACAAGTCTGATTGATAGTTTGCAAATGAACTGTTTACTGTATGGTTGTCAGATTTTAGTGAGATATTCTGTGATTTTGTGCTCAAATACATTCGATTATTCCCATTCGTGTTCTGTTCACTACAGCTCTATTCATTTTTAAATTCTTAGCTTATTTTAAACATTCGTAATTTGAATAGGAACAAAAACGAATTAGATCGTATATTGACTATGAAAAACATTTAAATCATTTAGTATTGTAGTAGTATTCAGTATTATGTTGCATATTTCTTGTTATCTAATATATGCTGTCAATGAAATTGTAATGCTGGACAAAAAAATTAAACAAAATACGCAGTTCAACGGTTCGGAACTCATGAGACGTATCGTAGATAATTATGATTATTAAACATTTCATGGTTATCAGAAGGTAATCATTTTGACATTTTATGTATATACACAGTAAAGATTATCATTCTGAGAAATGGTTAGCTAAAAACTCTACTTCAAAGATTTTATACATTAAACTACTGACAGTATGAAAACGATGTGATAAATTGTTAAATAGGCGGAAAATTCTTTTTAACCACGTATTATCATGATTACTTCGATAGCTAACAAATAACTCCAACTTTCTGTAAGTAGCGGCATTTTTCTAAAATATTAGAGAAAAAATTCCTGAAGATCCGGATCGTATAAAATTCGTTGTTGTACCTATATACACAGGATACTTTCTATTAAACATATATATAGTGAGAGAGAGGGAAAGAGCGAGAAAGAGAAGATTGTCACGCTTCATTTATCATAATATTGTTTCCTTTGTTTCATCAGTGTTATTTTACAAACTATTAATCAAATTATAATTAGCTATGTAGTGTTCACCTACAATTATTTATTTATAGTCCTACTTATAAGACAAAAATTTCTTTTCTCTGACATAAAACTTTTCACTCTATTCAATTATTTAACAGAAAGTATGGTGTCGTTATTACACAAGTGTTTCTTATATAGGCTAAAATTTAGTACAGTTTGGACCTTTATACAGTACCCGGGAAATTATTAAGCATTCGGAGTACTAAGATATTCGCCATATATATATACAAGTGAAAACAGTTTGTAATGATTCTAGCTATAACTTGTACCATAAGTTGACGAAGGTGTATCCACTCTTTGTGTTATACCAAATTCTAATTCTCTGAACTCCTCATGTCCCTATCCTTTTTCTCTTTTCAAATTTATCTTACTGTATAATGCTTATACTCTTACTACTTCTACCACTGTGAGATTTGAATCGACAACTTCATCTCTGTGCTAATGTGGTATGGCAGCTCGATCTGATGTACGTACGTACGAAGTTCTACGCTGTGACTGATTGATAAGTTGACTATTCTAGTAGCCATAATAATAAAAGCTTAAAGATGGTTTATTAAATAAGACATTTGGAGAAACAGTATGTTTTCTAAACAATACTACCTTCATCTTACTAAATTGACTGCTTTATTAAGTAGACAAAATATCTAAAGAATTCATACTTTAATAGAGTGAAATGTATCCTTAGGAAACCCGACTTATTATTAATAACAAGATGCATTGCTTAATTTGACTAATTATGTATATAACAAATTGTTTTCTTCATAAATTGACAAGTTCAATATTACTCTTGTCATTTATAAAAATACTTGATTCTTATGAAACTGATTAAGTTTTCCAGAGTATATTTTACCTAACTTTTGAAAGCAAACTTAGTACAGGCTACTTGACCTCATCATTTGCTTATTCTAAAAGGCCATAGTTTCAATAAACTTAATAAAACGTTCTCATTGAAGTATGACTTGGGGTTATTTAATCAATTGATTGGCTTACATTAAATATAAAAACTATTCTCTCTATTCTGTTACGAGAAGTTGATGGATAAATTTGTTGGAATATACTTTTCTCCTGTATGATAAATATCCGTTATATTTATTTCATATTAAATATATTCAAAATAAAATTGACATGAATATACTTCTACTTTGTGAAAACACACATTTCATTTGAGAAAGAAGGATCTCTCCGTAACTTAGGTTATATATGTCATTTCTCTCACTGTCTGCTAACATTCAACTGAAGTTTACTGAAATTACCCAAGATTTACCCAAGGTTTTAATAACTTATTTCATCAACCAGTAAAGCTTATGTAATCTATTATTTAACTTTGAACCAAGTTTTATTTGCACAGTTCTTGCACAAATGTACAATGCAACTTTATGAATAAAATAAGATGTCCATAATGTTATACGAGCAATAACTTTCAATTGTTTATAGATGTCATGAGTACATCCATTTTGAACAAAGAAGCATCAAAAACTCAGTGAGGATAGTTCTTCGTTACGACAATAGTAATTACTAATACGTATACAATTGTATTTTATAGTTAATTAATATTCATAAATCCGAAATAGAAAAGAAGAATACAGCATTGTTTTGAAGGTGATAGAAAGTATTTTGAAGTACCTTAAACTGTGTAATAAGTAAAATAGAAGATAAATTACAAATGAAAGATCAGTGTCGACCTGGAGAATATTCAGAAACTGTGAATATGGAGTGATATTACATCGCAAACTATTTTAAAGTACCAAATACAGAGACATTTTGCAACGTATTTTGGATAAAAAATCTATTAACTATCACATTTATGTGATCACACGTTTGAAAATTATTGATGGTGTTATTACAGTGAAAACGTTGTAATGGAATATATCAGTTAGAGTAGTCTGTAGTATTTCACCTTTTAAAAACGGTTTCTGAAGATGATGTGGCAAAGATGGTTTTGAATATGAACCTTAACATTTATGGAGATAGAGTTGAATTTATGAGTCAATTTAAGCTAGACCATTAGTGAAAATTTAGAAGCGATGGATTGCCGTTTCGTCCTAGTTTGGGACTCCGTAGCAATAAACGTCTACGATCACTGAGGTGGTATTTGAACCAAGGACCGGCCTGGTGGTCTAGAGGTTAAGTGTTTGCTTGCGAGGCCGAAGGTTATGGGACCGAGTCCCGAAAACACTACAATCTCCACAAATCCCAAAAACAATTTATAAAAACATCCAGAATATTAAAATAGTCTACACTATCGTTGTACGACTGAATAGAGAACATAACACGCAAATATGAAGCGAAACTTTTACGTCAAGAAACTTATTTAATGTTCTCATAAATAACAGAGAACAAGTTGAAATCACGATTAGATTGACAGACTTATTTTCAATGTCTATAACTTTCTCATTTTAAAAACGATTTCAGCATACATAACATAATGTGTTATACTAATGCTTATATAGTAACTTTAATAATTTTAGTTGCATTTCAATTTAACTGATACAATAATGGTGTTGAATACTGAAGTCCTTCTAAGTTTAAACTTGGTTGGATCAATTTTTTAACTACTGACAATTTTAACTGTGTATTCAACATACCGACACAACTCTAAGTAAATAAAATATGGCACATTGATCAATTGATATTCATAGATCCTTTTTGCCAAAAATCAACTTACTTTTCTTATCAGATAATAAGGAAATATTTGTAAATCCATTGAAAAACTAGGCTTAAACATTAACATAATCCAAAGTATGTACAGATATTACTTAAATAACACTGAAAGGTGATTAAGTGGATTAAACATAACTATTTAAAACGACTAATATACTTCATTTGATTTAAATTTATTATTCTTTGCAATATACCCTAATCTTAATGGTTCTTTAATCTAGTTTCAATTTATAAATGTAAAAGCATAATTTACAGAAATCTATCAGTATGTTCATCAATATAATTGAATTTGATTGAATGAATAAAGAATAAGTTAAGCTATAGGTTCTTGGGCACATGTTACGTGTTATCGAGTATTTGGAATTTCTATTTATCAGCTATGACCGTTATTCCTGCCGTCCAACGTCAATTTTCCTAATGTTTATGCTAGTTATGAAGCTTTTATTCCCTTAAGTATGTAGTGTCAATTGTTGTATCAACCCATATAGCTTACTCTAGCTTCCAGACAAGCCAGTTTATTCATTCTTCTTGAGTCACATTTTGACCTTGTTAATTACTCAATTTGCCTTGTCTTGCTTTGCCAAATTTGCGCTGAAACATCACAAATACATATTTAAATCTCATATTATGGAATAATTTACTTTCAACATGAATGTAATGGGTATGAATAGTCTGAAAAGGAATAACATAATCCTTTTCCCACTTGTTGGAATTCACTTAGCACACTGTCGATTTCAACCCAGCTTCCGAAGCACCTATTCAGTATTATACATTGAAAAACCTTGCGCACGTCGACTGAGATATCGTTTGAACATGAAACATTGCAAACAGTAATGAGCAATTATAAAACGAAACAAACAGTTAATTATTGCAATAATACTTTACTGACTCAAGAAATTATTACCAACATTTAAGTTAGAAGCTTCATACATTTCGTCTTAAACTTTGTGTAAAGCAGTGATTTACACAAAGTTTGCGTATCCATAATCGTTAAGTTATTTTATTCATAATGCGCTCTTTTTCTGGACCTTATCAAGTTGTAACAAAGTTGTGTTGTTCAGTAGAGCAATTGGTTTCCAGGATCAAATTACAAAGCAACAATTGACCCAAGGTGCAGGCTACAAAACAGAGAAAAGTTAGTTGATGTTATTCGCAAAAACTTTGTGATTTTATTGCAGCAATAGATTATTTAAATATGAGAACACCTTTAATACCCAATCAACACACAGCAACTGAAAAGTGTAATAGCCGCCGCATATCAGGCTGTTCAAGGTCGTTAAAATGAAACTGTGGGTGACCTTGAGTGAACCTAAAGATATCACCGTGCTCAAGTGAATTTAGAAGAATCCTCAAAGTAATCTGAATACTCAAAGATTTAGAAGAGTACTAGATGGTATCTTACATTAACTAAACTGCCCCCCGTAAATCACAACCATCTGATGAAATCTTCTGAAGACGAAGTAAGTTACATTGAGGTTATTTTCAG